AGTTTTAACTAGTGGTCGTCCAGTGGTCGAAAATTCAACCAAAAACATGTAATGTTCTTCTATTGGCTATTGGATACTGAAGTAGACATCCCATCTATATGGACCAGCTGTCGCAATTTTTTTTAAACACATAGTTGTGTGAGCCAGTCACCGAATGCGTGTCTTAAATTCTATGTTCTACCTTATTTTTTGTTGCTGACAAAGTTGATGGGTCATAACAGTTGCTATAGCACATAATAAGTCATTCCATCAGTTTGACTTGGTAAAAAACATCGTGTATTCGACAGAAATTAGTCATTTAGATCAGCGCAATCTGTTGGTGGCTCACATCAACTACAACGAATTTAATTTTTTTTTAAATGGTGACAACTTTAACATGGGGATGGAATGTAAAGGTATAGGCTTCTCTATTTTCACCCCACGCTGTAAATAAAACATGTGATTGTAATTTCTTCTATTTGTTTTGATTTTCTGTTTATATTTGTTGTTATTTCGTCGCCAACATGGCAACCCATAAAGCCCATGTTAATTTTTTTAATTTTCAAATCCATATTTTCTGCTTTAATTTGAGCCTATTTTAATTTTTAAATGGATTCTGCACTTCTACAGGAAAATATATTTCTAACGGTATGCATAGATTTTCCCTACGATGCACACGAGCTGAGGAAAAAGGTTTTAAAGAAACATGCTTGCCTATTAATATATAGATAGATAGATTGACGGCGTAACCTAAAATTGCTATGCTTTTTTAATTTTCATAACTGTGTAAAGTATCCAATGTCTGTTTAAAGAAATTAATAAAGTTCAAAACACGAGTGAGAGTGGGTCTATACATATTTTGATAAATCTCGCACTTCAAACATATGGTTTCAAATATGTAATGTCTCACTTTTCATTCTTGTTATGAAAATACTATCAATTGACATTATTCTGAACAATATTTAACTACTTACTCGAACATTTGTACGGGTTCTCTTTATCTTTCCCGTGAATGTTTTGATAGATGTGCGCTGTGCAGTGTCAGTGGTTGTATTCAGCGCGTTATTTATGAGCACGATGTACAATAAATGGTGACTTGCCGGTGATATACACTCTACACATACCCCACACACCAACACAGACAACACTGCCCTTACACCTTACGTGTCAAACATATCGCAATTCAGCTGAATTCAACTGCAAGTTAGCAAAAGATTTAAATCAATGTTCTTTTGAAGTGTGTGCTAGATTAACATTTTGTGCTCTAACAATTTAGGCTATGGATACTCTACCAAGCAGCGTAGGGTTTTCATGTAAAAGCTAAAGTCAGGTTTAGTACAAACATATATAATTGAATGGAGCCCTTAACGAAATGTGCTGTTAAAAAACTACAGATTTTTCTTGCCTTTCAACCCTCTTAAATTGAAGAGGCATCCAGTTATAGACCATGGGGACCCTTACAAGTAACCAGGTGATGACCAAAATTAACTTCTGGTAAGTGTGACTGTGAACGAGATTTTTTTTTAAAGTGGCAGTAACATGAAATCATAAGATCTTATTGTTTTATAACAATAATTAATTTAGTTTTATACATTTAACATCTTTTATAAACCATGAGTGTGGAAATAATTCACAAAGTAGTAACTTAAACTCGTCTGGGTGTACTAAATTTACTTTTGTGTAACCTTTCAAATTCTGAACTCTTCATGCTGTACCTGGAACCCCTGTTTACTCTAATTGACTCATATTTATCCAACATTAGCCTTCAAAAGAGCTAATAATTAATCAGTAATTTGTGGCAATTGCTAGTTCAAAGCAACCATTATGCTATTTACTATATCGACTTTAATTTGCTTTCGTCTGTGTTAAAATGTAACCCATTTTGTTCTTTTTTATTCACATACTTATTGCAAATAATTAAACTCAAAAATCTTTTGAAACTTTAAAATATTAAAGGCAAACTATTCACAAATAATACAGTCAGTGTCCAATTTTTCGGTAAAGTCAACTCAATATGCAAAGCTTGGCCTCCAATTGCTCTTCCTAATATGTATGTTAAACGCATTTTACTATACCGAACTGGCAGGATCGGAGCTGACAGGCGAGAATGACATTTTGACAGATGAACATGTTGTAACCTGTATTGTAATTCCCTTTCACCAGTCGGCCATGTTGGACTTTTATTCAGATTGGATCTCATGCATGGCACTAACGTGAGTGGAATGTATATTGAACACTTGTCTTGTAAACTATACTGTGGAACTGTGTGTCTTACATAATGAGTGGTCAGTGTTATTTTTTGGGCACTGACTGCAAAAGAAATTCAATTAAAGAATCAAACACAAAACCGGAATAATTATCATAATCCTTTTAATTTATTGACATAACAGTGTTATATTTTATTTTATAAAATCTTAACACCTTAATTTTTTTTTTATCTCGAGGGAATGGTAGTAGCACTGGTCAGGTTAATGGTTGTGCAGTAAAACACTTTTTCAATCCACAAAAATAATGTTAATCAGCTCTTCCTTTAATTAATAGTGCAGATTCAAAAGTATTCACGTGTTCAAATGTAAACAAATATTTTCTCCATAAGGATAACATGGGAACTTTAAATGCCACTAGTTAGTCAGGGCTGATAAAATTTCTTTAAACACTTCTTTTTGCACACCTAGAGGATGATTGGAACCTCCATGCCAATTTCTGTAGCTTTTAAAATATAGAGATCAGTGAGTGAGTGTCATTTGACTTTCATAAGAGAAAGTTTTTTGAAAAACTCTTTCAAAACAACACTTTAATGTTATTTACACTAGAAAAGAAAACATATTTGCAATAGATTTATTCCAAACCCCAGATATATTTTACTACAATGTCCATGTCTTGAGCTACACCCAGCAATCAGTTACTTAATGACGCAATCAATGATGTACAAGTTGGCCGGATCCTCCAACATCGGTGAATGTTTGATGAGCCAGTCATATGCGTGACCAAATCCTACCTTATCCATTATTGCCAGTCCAAACCTATCAGCTGATTGTACGACTCCTGTCACCGGCTGTTAATAATTCCAAACAGCTGACATTTGTAATGTAAGGCAATTCTACACAAATGATTTGTCAATCTTGAATGCATTGTGTGGGATTTATTTAGCAGTCTTTTAAAACCTTACTATGAATTATAAATCTTTTTACTACTTACCTGCCATTAAAAAATGTTATAATGATTTAAAAATAATGAGACTACAAGTTGAGTTATTGTACAACACTGATTGAACCAATACTTTGCTATTTTATTAACATTTTTTTAATATAAATAAGAGGTTTTATGTTTTTCAAAACCGTATGTAACCTTTAGTTTACTATATTTCTACGTGTAAACTATTGCGACATCAAGAATTTATAGAGATTTTCTTTGTCACATACAAAAATTGCTAAGCGAAATCTAGCACACATTAGAATACGTTACACAACAAAGGCTGTAATAAGTTGAAACAGAGGAACATTCAAGAGAGCTCACAAAGCTAGAAAGAAAAATTTTCATGAGATATTGTATTAGCAGAGAAACTTCTTATTCCATAATAACTTACTTTCTTAATAACTTAGAGTAGAAATTCTCAATGAGGTCAAGGAAGAACTCCAAACACAGCATAACAAGCAAGGAGACCGTACGCTACTAGGAGCAATTTTACAATAGTATAAAAGAAATTGATGAAGATTATGCAGTCTAATTAAACCTGTAGAAATTCAAATCTATTAATTCAACAAACTTGTAAGGAATGAAAATCTCATACTGAAACCCATAGGCATGTTTATACAATGTGCAGAGTTGAAGATTTAAAAGATATAATGCTATAGTTCATTACATGGTACTGAACTATACTCTTTGCTTTTATTTAAAATCACAACTGAGGGTAAAATGTAATTTTTTAACTGTGAATTAAATCCATAAAATATTTTACAACTTAATGAAACACATACATACAAGCTTTTACAGAACAACTGTACAAATATTGATATTCACAATTGCAGTGAAAGTGGTATGCATAAGGTGAACCGAGTAGTATATTTCCCGTCCAAACGTTATTTATGTGCTTTGCTTTGCTTGGGACAGCCCCTTTGATTTGTAGCCCAGCCTGTGACATTTGTGCCGCCCTTAAATTAAGTAATCATCGGTAAACATTCATCATAAACTAGCAACGCTCCACACCCTGTAGACTTATGAATCAACTATCAACTGGCGTTTGTGTTTATTATGCTTTATTACCCATGTGGTAAGCCGTATTCATAAATTTTACTTTTCTAAATAACTAGAGATTAGGCCAACCGAAATTTGGTTTATACATGCTAATACAAAGGTGGACTTGAATTACAAATTTTGCGTACTCGTAGGCCTACTATAATTTTAATTCCTATGTTACTCGTTTCAAAAGGAGTAGTTTGTGTGAAAGTATGAAATATATGTACACATAAGAGATCACCATTTAATAGAATCATCATTACATAGAAGATTACTAAATAAACTTCTTACATATTCAACTTCCGCTCCTTATAACTTTCAACTATTACACGTTGATGTTTTAGCGCCTAAGTATCCATCTATCTGTTTGTATACAATTCTGGTAGGTCAGTTATACATGGAGTAGTATAATCTTACTAGGCAGTGTTTAGTTTTAGTTATACAATCATTACTAATGTGCGCGTATGTGCTAAAATTACTAATATTACAAATAATTGTGCCAATATTGTTGTAGTCTCATTAAAAATAATAAAGTGTTATCTAAGTGTGCTTGACAGTAGACATCATCTTAAAATCATTGAAAAACACTTAAGGACACAATTATTAGTAACTGATATTCAACGATGATTGCTGTTTATGAATTACTAATAGTATGTTCTTGTTATCTATTAATTTACCATGTGTCAATAATCATATGTTAACAATGAAGTTTTTCAAACAATATTTACCATCACGTTGAAAAAGTAAACAATTGAAATAGTTTAGATTTGGGGTTATGTATGAGTTAAGTAATTTATGACTAGATTTTTTTGGCCTAAGCAAGAGCATACATAAGAGAAACACTTATTCACCGCCAATAGAAGTTCTGAGGAAAGATGGAAGATAGGACGAACATCCAGGCAGACCAGCGTCAAGACCATCTTGAAACTTTGAGATCAAAAATGGACATGAAAGCGGAAAAAATGGTTCTTGAAAGAAGAATGCAGATAGAACGCATGGAACGTGGACTGGAGCAGCAACTAGAGAATGAAAGGAAGATTACTGCTAATGCCTTAGAGAGACATGAAAGAGAAGGAATACTTGCACGTGAGCTTAGCTTATTAAAACGAGAACATTTGAGGCAGATGAAAATGAGGGAACGTATAACAGCGGCTAGTGAGGAGTTAAAGGCTTTAGATAAGAAACGTCGAGAATCTTTTGTAAATAAGCATCTTATTACACAATTAGCTGAAAAGGAGGCTGTGAGAGCACAAGAAAAGCTAGAGAAACTTAAGATCCAAGAGATAATTGAATCGGAGAAAAGGTGTATGGAGGAAAAGGCGGAAATGAATGTAAGTTTCATCCACGCGGATAAACTAAAGTATAGAGAAGAACTTCTTAAGCAGATAAAGGACGGGAATCAAAACCAACGAGATATGCAAAGAGATAAAATACTAGAAAATGCATTACTAGAACAGACATTGAGGAAGATTCGTGAAGAAGACGAAATTGAAGAAGCTGCACGTTTAGAAAGAGTTTCTAATGTAAAAAGGGAAATTGAAGGATTCCAAAGACAAAGAGAAATGCAGAAACAAAGTGAGAAACTTTCCCGAGAGGCCGAGGTAGCTAAAAGTAAAGCATATACAGAAGAAAAAGAAAAACAAAAGGAACAGATTGTACAAAATTCTAAAGACAGAGAGCTGGAGAAAAGTAAGTTTATCGACCATATATCAGAGTTGAACGCATCCAAACTTTATCAAAGGAAGGAGAGGGAGGATATTCTAGAATTCCTGGTGGAGGAAGAAGCAAGACAGCGAGACATTCAAAAAGACAAAGAGAGAGCATCAAGGGCAGAAAAAGTTAGGATTGACCTTCAAAACTTTTACAAGAAACACATTGAAGAAAAGGAACTCGCTAGTAAATCAAACTTCAAGGAACAAGAACAATACAGAAATCAGCTACTAGCAAACCTAGCTTTGCAGGAACAACTTGAAATGTCATCAGCAGGTAAGAAAGACTTGAAGAAGAAAGAACTCCGTGAATCCCTTTTAAATCAGATGAAAGATAAACATCGGCGACAAATCAGGGAATGGCAACGTCAGTCTGCTCTACTTGACGAACAACTAGAAGAGGAAGACAGATTGAGACGTATGTGTAATTACAAGGATCCTCAAATACTAGATGATTTAGACTAGTTTGAGAAAGAGGTCATAGCTGCCCTATCCTCGCCAGAGGTTGAGGAGATTCCACCTGATGCTGGCGTTGGTTAATAAATTTTGTAAACGTTAAAATGTGTATCTTCTGATTTTGTAGGCAAACAGTACAGTGCAACGCAGTGTGTTGAATATACTAACTATCAGCCTTGATTGAGATTCTGCAAATTATTTTTAGACTCTGATTCCTCTATATTTATTTACGTTTGATCTATATTGCCATATTTGTATGTGTTTTGTAATGTTTGTGTCTTTAAAGGAGTCTGTAAACAAAATATGTTCTCCTTACTACTAACTTTGATTAAGCTTATTTCTAAACCACTATTGATTAGTAGTAGCCAGGAAACTAATGTCAACAGGTAAAACAATTTTAATCTTCTCAACTAATCTTCAAAAACCAACAGGCTTACATAGATAAATCGTATAAGTATAATTTTAATTTATTACATGGAAATGTTTAACACACATAAGACGAATCCGATTTTCCTTCCGTGGGATGTTTCAGACAAATAAGCATCTAATATATTAATTTGAAACTGTTTTTCTGTGTGACAGCTAACTTGAGAGAACGGCTGGGCGTAGAAACTCGGTAGGGGTCTCTAAAGAAAGGTCTTGGTCTGTAGATGAGCCATCAAAAGAGAAACGTGGTAAATTCCCTTGGGGCTCTGCCCCAGTGGCTTTTAAATTCCCATCCCATGTTATTCTTATGGAGGAAAAACGGGGTTTTGTCACAGCTAATTTCAGAGAACGGCTGGGCGTAGAAACTTGGTAGGGGTCTCTAAAGAAAGGTCTTAGTCTGTAGATGAGCCTATGACGAAATTTCGGGTTGAGAGACAAAATTGAGATTTTATAGTACGTAATTGTCGTCTCACCTGAAATTCTGTCACACCTTAAATCTGTCCAGATAGCTTAGCCTACTATGAGATAGTCCAGGGCTCTAACGTGTTCGTTAATTAATTATCGTTCGAGTTTATTGGCTCAGAATATTAAATACAACAATAATGCTTACAATGTTAAGCTTACCTTTAACAAGTGCTCATCATAGCCACTCGAAAATATGTGAAGTTAAATTTAGAATTTTGAATAAATTATCGAAATGCGAATAAGCCTAATTAATTAGAAACTGAACTAAAACGTGATTCGGTCGTTATACTTGGTAATCACCAAAGTAAACTTGTCGGGAAAATTAGACTTGGTCGATCACCAGAGTCGATACGGGGTTTTTAAACCAAATTTACGTAGGACGGTCCGGGGTAACGGGGTAAGTCGTACGTAAATCGTTCCGGCAACTTAACTGATTTCCGAAGCTGGTTTAAGACAAAAGGTAGTGTGCTCGTACGTGAAAAAGCGTGCGGGGTGCGCGCGACTGCGGCACAGTATAATAAAAATAATAAAACTTCTCTAAAAATGAGATTAAACAAAATAAATTCGGTAGCACACTAACCTGATGACTTATGATTCTACCAGGAACGGGGGAAATCTTTAATTGACCAGAATTTAGGAGGTTATAGACTGTTGGATTGTCTCCAAACAGCAAGCGTACTGACGGTTCGGTAGCGGGTGGACGACTGACCATGAGGTCCGCTCTTCTGGTCCTTCTTTGCCATCGCCCCTGGCGGCGGGGTAGGTAACTAGCGTCATCCCCTCTACGATGACGTAGGACCCTTGCCCCTACGATGCCGCTGACAACGCGGGCGCGGCTTACCCCGAACGTAGAAAATTATAATATTTAAAATGAAACTTTTAAAAATCGGGTTTTTACCCCTTGACGGGTTTTGGGTCGTTACACCCCCTTCTTACTTCGCAGAGAAAAAAAAGAAAAACGGAAAAAGAAAAAAAATACCCGAACCTAGGGTATTGTCGGTGTCTGCTGCGACACTCTTGAGCAAGAAAATAACGAAATCGAAACTCTTCTTAAATTGGGTACGTCGCCTCAATATATGTGCTCCATCGTCCGCAGCTTCTTCGTACGGACCCGGAAAAACGTACCATCTCCCCTGAACACCTTCATCCTCTGGTTTTTCCTTCGCCGCCCTGTGTCTTCCAACGGTAAATTGGACAGGATGTCGCGCACCTCCTGTGGCACTGGCCGGCTAGTGGACGCGGTGGCAATCGGGGTGTGAGGCGTATCGGCGGGAGCATTGCGACGGGTGGCTGGGGATACCTCCACCAGCGCGACCGTGGCAACCGCGGGTCGATGGGGTGGCTCTGTTCCGGATCGGGGATTTGGACTCAGCCGCCCCCTCCTTAGCTGAATCCTGTGTGCGTTTCCCGCCTTACAATTGCATTTTGCGGTCGAGATGCCTTTGGTTTTGCAATAAAAGCACTTCCATGTTCTTGGTTCGGGGCAGTCGCGGAACAAATGTCCCGTACGGTCACAATTCCAGCAAACGTACTGGTTGTTGACGTGGACGGTTTTCTCCAGTGCCACCCCTCTCACACTCGTGTGGGAGTTGGGCACGGATAGGGTTTGTGCCTTGGATCGCGAACTCGGTCCTTGCCGCGCGCGGTCGTACCTCTGGTGCTGCGGGTAGGTCCGGGAGCTCGGTTCGCGTGGCGGTTCAGCAGTGACTGCGGCGTTATCGACCGGACGTTCAGAACGCCTTCGCCCGTGATACGCGGTTTCAGGAATGAGAGAGATAGCCGGAGGGGGTGGAGGACGAAACGTGCTCTTATCCCTAACGTAGGACTCGTACTCCTCGGCACGCTTAATCAGTTCGGTCAGAGTCAAGCAGTCCTGGCGTCGAACCATAAGTTTGTATTCGGGTCGCATATTCGTATAAATCAAGTCAATCTTATCGTGGGACGAAATGGATCCTCTCCTTCGAATTAGCGTGCTTAACGCGACCACAAAATCTCTGAACGGCTCCTGGTCACCCTGTGTCCGCTTACGAATCTCTTCGTCCAAGTTACGGCGATAACCGAGAGGTAGATATTGGATTTCGAAATGGCTACGAAAATCCTGGAAATCGGCCCACGCTTCCCGGTTATTGCGGTACCATAACAAGGCGTTACTAGTCAACAGTTCCGGCAGAGCCCTGAAGACCTGGTCTGGGGCTAAGGAATACGCCTCCATTAGCTCCTCCAAGCGTTCCAGGAACGATACCGGGTCTTTGCGACCGTCAAAACGAAGGTTCCACTTACGAACGACGTTGTAAATGGAGGCTCCGTCTAGCGATTGGCGGCCTGAGGGGCCAGCGTGGCTCGATGGATCGGCATCTCGCAACTCGCGAGTTGCCGAGGCGTTAGGACGTGGTACCGCACCGTAGCACAGATCGGCATAATTCGTGGTAGGGGGTGCGGCGTGAGCGGGAACCGTGTCGGTCGCGTAGTGTCCCGTGGGAGTCGCGTCGTTTGACCTCAAGGTATTCACCATTGAGGCTAGGACCCGTCTCACTAGCGTAGAGTCCGCATTCGGTGACAACCCAAGTATCTCCCGTACACTGTCACGTTCGTCGAGGGCGGTATGAACGCCTAACTTGTCCTTAGACGCGTATTCCAACCCGCAATTCGCCGGCGGGATATTAAGAGTGCGTGGAGGATCAACGGTCCGGTAGGGTTCGGTACGGGTAATTACGGAGAATGGCGATCGCCAAAAATCCACAAAACTCTTCCTAAGTTCATCTGCCGTACCTGCCGTAGAAAGGCCGTATTTACTCATCTCATTCTGCAGCTCCTCTTTGCTCAGTCTATAAATCCACCCGACGCGCGGATCGTCAAACGGCGTGCGCGGCACGATCGATTCCGTAGACACGCGGGTGTTAACTGTAGTGACAAACGTTGAAGTGGTAACTTCAGTTGTAGTGGTAACGGTGGGAGCGGTGGTAACGGCGGGAGCGATGGTAACGGCGGGTGTGATGGTAACGGCGGGAGTGGTAGTAACAGCGGGAGCGGTTGTGACGGCGGGAGCGGTAGCAGCTGGCGGTAGGTCATTGTTTTTGCGCGGGGGCCTTTTCCCTGATTCATCTGGAGTCAGCAAGTACATAACTGGGAAAAGATAAGTCCAAAGGCGCAAAAATAATTCCCAAGGTGTCATTTTTAAATTATTACTAGGAAATACAACAGTCGACGATAATGGTTGTTGTCGAAAAAATACGTAAAAGACTGTGTAACTGTCGTAAGGCTCGTCGCTAATCGCAAATGTTCAGTATAATATTTAAACCACTGATACAATACCCCAACAATCAATGTTTACAATCGCAAAAAGTAAACAAAGTTCCGATAATACGTTAGCCTAATGATCGTTGTGAACTAATTGCTACTGAGCAATACAATAATATGTTAACCAACAATATTATTATATCACTAACGTGTACGTAACCGTCGTAATTAGGCTCAATCCAAAATATAATAATCCTGTATTATTATATTAAACAATGCTATTTCCTGTGTGTAACATTATTGTATTACAATACAATAAAACTGGGGTATGCTAATTGCTGTTAAATATTAGGACAACCAGAAGTATAACAATATGTTAACCAACAATATTATTATAAAACAGTTCTGATCCCAAATATTTAACGCGTTTCAGTTGCGTTACAAATATTATGCAATGCAATGGATGTAAATATTGTTAGAAATAAGCCCACTAGAATTGGAAGAACTACGGGGAAACTCCAATAACAAACCGTTATCAAACAGCTGATCGGGCCGCTCTTATCTCTTGCCCATTCATACAGAGAACAATAGGCAAGCGCAACACTAGTGAACTGACCGGTCGACTAGCCTCCTTAAAGCAGAACAATTCTTACAGAATATTCTTAATTAAATCGAAAGGCAGTGTTAACTATTTCCTACTTAAATAATTATAATCGAATAATAATAAATTGTCAGAGGAAATGTATAAACACTGGTACAAATAAACACGGTGTATAAACGGTTAAGTTCGAAATCAATTAAATTCCAATAAATATCCTGTAATTCTATTAAACAAACGTAGTACGTTAAACAACAGTACTGACGTTTAATCGTATCCAGTTCTACGGTATAAAACCAATATTCCACTGTAACGTCTCGTACACAACACTGATTATGGTAATGTTCGTATGTGTAATATTTATTAAATTCTGAGCCAAAACAATTAATTATCGACTATGCCTTCGGGCGCCATAAAATATCGTTAACATTCAATAGTCCCTGTTCGGATCGCCATTTGATATGACGAAATTTCGGGTTGAGAGACAAAATTGAGATTTTATAGTACGTAATTGTCGTCTCACCTGAAATTCTGTCACACCTTAAATCTGTCCAGATAGCTTAGCCTACTATGAGATAGTCCAGGGCTCTAACGTGTTCGTTAATTAATTATCGTTCGAGTTTATTGGCTCAGAATATTAAATACAACAATAATGCTTACAATGTTAAGCTTACCTTTAACAAGTGCTCATCATAGCCACTCGAAAATATGTGAAGTTAAATTTAGAATTTTGAATAAATTATCGAAATGCGAATAAGCCTAATTAATTAGAAACTGAACTAAAACGTGATTCGGTCGTTATACTTGGTAATCACCAAAGTAAACTTGTCGGGAAAATTAGACTTGGTCGATCACCAGAGTCGATACGGGGTTTTTAAACCAAATTTACGTAGGACGGTCCGGGGTAACGGGGTAAGTCGTACGTAAATCGTTCCGGCAACTTAACTGATTTCCGAAGCTGGTTTAAGACAAAAGGTAGTGTGCTCGTACGTGAAAAAGCGTGCGGGGTGCGCGCGACTGCGGCACAGTATAATAAAAATAATAAAACTTCTCTAAAAATGAGATTAAACAAAATAAATTCGGTAGCACACTAACCTGATGACTTATGATTCTACCAGGAACGGGGGAAATCTTTAATTGACCAGAATTTAGGAGGTTATAGACTGTTGGATTGTCTCCAAACAGCAAGCGTACTGACGGTTCGGTAGCGGGTGGACGACTGACCATGAGGTCCGCTCTTCTGGTCCTTCTTTGCCATCGCCCCTGGCGGCGGGGTAGGTAACTAGCGTCATCCCCTCTACGATGACGTAGGACCCTTGCCCCTACGATGCCGCTGACAACGCGGGCGCGGCTTACCCCGAACGTAGAAAATTATAATATTTAAAATGAAACTTTTAAAAATCGGGTTTTTACCCCTTGACGGGTTTTGGGTCGTTACAAGCCATCAAAAGAGAAACAAGGTAAATTACCTTGGGGCTCTGCCCCAGAGACCTTTAAAGTCCCCTCTTCAGATTTGTTTACATCTGTCACGATCATATGCATACATTTACACTACTTTATAATGAAACAGCTGTTAATATTTAAATTTTGATTTAATAAATTTGTCAAAATAAAGTATTTGCAATGGTTTTTTTCTGATTTTAAAATTGATTTTCTTCTGAATCGTGCCATGTTTTGCAATATAATGTTCTATTACCAAATCAGTGGAAAATCCTAATATCACAGTAACTCTTAAAATTATTTCTTATGTAGTTAAATATCTATTGTATGGGTTGGATTCTGCCTTTTTTACCACTTCTTGGAGATTGCACGTAGACGATATTCTTTGGCGTATTGCACCTGTAGTAGACGATACTTGGTTGGTGTCATTTTTTAAATTACAATGGAAAAAAGTGAGAAATACTGGGCAGTTTTATATTACAAATAAAACTGAATTAACACTGTGCTAAATTTCTTGAGCAATAATTGAAAGAGCCGATTTGCAAACAATGGAAACAGGAAAATCATAGAACACAAACAAGTACAGTAGAAGAAAGAGAAATAAAGTTTTTTTTATATTTATAATCGTTAATATAGACAACCTAATGCGGCTATGAATGGACAAAATTTGTAGAAAACACTAAGAAACAAGGTCAGCTTTTGAAAAAGGATAAGATATATACACAAAATGTTATTTATATATTACTGCTGTGTACATCTTGAGTATTTCCATAATCTTTGAGTCGACTTTTATAAAGTCATCGGAAATTATGACTGTTATTCGTTTTAAAATAACACCGGTAATGCTTCGCAATTGCTCGAATTCGAGCAACAGGTACACTAGTTAAATATTATTTTCAAACGATTATTTTAACATGCAGGCTTATTTAGCTACATAAATCATTTTCGTGGCTTCCAACATTGATTTTGACTAACACCAGATGATCTGTATTTATATTTTATTCCATTGGAGATATAAAACAAGCAGAACCAGAGCGGATTGTAGCCAGTGCAGAGAAGTACCCAGCAATATACAGCCACAGTCTACATCGTTGGTACTGCCTGGGGCAGCAATAAACGGTTACTTACGGATGGTGGCCGCGAACACTGAGGTTCAAACAAGTTTATTTGAACTGTAAAACATCGCTTCTTTGATTTTAAACGCTTCCAAGCCAAAATCAATACATTTACTCTGGTAGGATATTGCAGAAACGTAAAAAGGCAGTTCTTTTAACGAAAATGTAATCAATATTTTGCTTTGGAAAGCTATATAGCTGAAAACCATAACGATATCTAGTTCTATATGTTATTATCGTGTCTACCTTTTTACATTTATTCACAATTTTGGCAAGTTGGATATATTTTTTTGGGTCCAAACCCAGGTTTTTTTCTAACGTCGATCTGTTATTATGAAGCATTCATTATTGTTTTATAAACGAATACTTTTGCAATGAGGTTACATTTGATCTTGAAACAGAATCCGAACCCAACCCAGCATGTCAACCATGGAACTATAAAACCTGGATTACCAATGAACGTTCTCCGTAATATGTTGCCTTAAGTAATCATAGCCAAAACATCAATTTCGTAATGCTAGGTTTATTACATTGGGAAACCTTAAATGCTGATCTGCTAACAACCAATTTAAGTCTTCGTCTTACCCTTTTACAATTTTAAAATGTTGTGTGATGGTTAATAAATGGACTGTATTTTAGGTAAGAACAAAATAAAAAATAGACTGAAAAAATAGTTTAGTAGTTGAAACAACTGAGGAATAAACCGCATCAATAATTAAACATCAGCTGTTAAAATGAATATGAACCAATCGAAAGCAAAGAGTTCTAAAATAAAAAGTATGGCTGATTATAAGTACTGAACACAATACAAAATATATTCATATCCATCCTATTTACACACAAACGTTTCACACTTTTTTCGAGGTTTGTAAAGTTGTGTTTTCTTCACCAACAAACTCTGCAGCAGCGAGTCGCCACAACACGTTTTGTACTCAGCGCTTGTCAAGGGGATGTAACAAGGGGTTCCTAATACATTAACACAATCACATCAGTTTGTTTGTCCGCCTTTGACAAATCTATTGACAGCCGAGATGAGGTGAATCATGTGATAAATAACGAGTGTGCATCATTATTCCCCCTCATCTATGCTCAAAGGCAGTATTTAGTTTTAGTTTTACAACCATTACTAATGTGCGTATGGGCTAAAATTACTAATGTTACAATAGTACCTACGGTATAGTTAAAAGAGTCATTGACACTATATTGTGGTAATATTGTTGTAGTCTCATTAAAAATAATTAAGTGCTATTCAATACTTTGCATGACAGTGGACATCATCTTAAAATTATTTAAAATCACTTATGGACACAAGTGTTTGTAACTGATATTCTACGATGATGGCAGTTTATGAATAACGAATATTATGTTCTTGTTATCTTTGAATTTACCATGTGTTAATAACCATGTACTAACAATCAAGTTTAAAAAAATATATATTTACGATCACGTGGCAAAAGTAAACAATTGAAATAGTTTAGATTTGGGGTATGTATGAGATAATTAATTAATGACGAAATCATCAAACGTTTTTAGCCTAAGGAAGAGCATACATTAGAGGAACACCTATTCACCGCCAATAGAACTTCTGAGGAAAGATGGAAGATAGGATGAACATCCAGGCAGAACAGCGTCAAGACCATCTTGAAACTTTGAGATCAAATATGGACATGAAAGCGGAAAAAATGGTTCTTGAAAGAGGAACGCAGACGGACCGCACGGACCGGGGACTGGAGGAGCAACTGGAGGATGAAAGAAAGGTTACTGGTAATGCCTTAGAGAGACATGAAAAAGAAGGAAGACTTGCACGTGAACTTAGCCAATTGAAACGAGCTCATAAGAGGAAGCTACGTTTATTAGCGCTTAGTAAGAAGATGGAGGCTTTATTTAAGCTTTCTACTACAAAATTAGCTGAAAAGGAGGATGTGGCAGAACAAGAAAAGCTAGAGAAATTTAAGATCCAAGAGATAATAGAATCGGAGAAAAGGTGTATGGAGGAAAAGGCGGATATGAATGTAAGTTTCATCCACGCAGAGAAACTAAAGTACAGAGAAGAACTTCTTAAGCAGATAAAGGAGGGGAATCAAAACCAACGAGATACGCAAAGAGATAAAATACTAGGAAATGCATTACTAGAACAGACATTGAGGAAGATTCGTGAAGAAGACGAAATTGAAGAAGCTGCACGTTTAGAAAGAGTTTCTAATGTAAAAAGGGAAACCGAAGGATTCCAAAGACAAAGAGAAATTCAGAAACAAAGTGAGAAACTTTCCACAGAAGCCGCAGAAGCTAAAATCAAAGCATATGCAGACGAAAAAGGAAAACAAAAGGTGACTGTAAAAAATTCTAAAGACAAAGAGCGGGAGGAAAGTAAGTTCGCAGAGTTCACATCCAAACTTATTCATGGAGAGGAGTGGGAGGACCCCCTATATATTCTAGCAGTACAGATGGTGGACGAAAAAAGCTGGCAAGACATTCAAAAATACAAAGACAGAGCATTAATGGAAGAAAAAATAAGGATTTACTATTATTACAGTTGCAGGAAAGACATTGAATTAAAGGTACTCGCTAGTAAATTAAACTTCAAGGAACAAGAAGAATACAGAAATCAGCTACTAGCAAACCTAGCTTTGCAGGAACAACTTGAAATTTCAGCAGCAGGTATGAAAGACTTGAAGAAGAAAGAACTCCATGCAAGCCTTCTAAATCAGATGAAAGATATACATCGGCGACAAACCTCTGCTCTACTTGACGAACAACGAGAAGAGGAAGACAGATTGAGACGTATGTTTAATTACTTTGATCCTCAAACACTATATGATTTTGAACTGTTTGAGAAAGTGGTCATAGCTGCCCTATCCTCGCCTAAGGGTTGAGGACATTCCACCTGATGTTCAGAGGCTGGCGTTGTTGGTTAATACATTTTGTGAACGTTAAAATATTATGTGTCTTCTGATATTGTAGAAAAACAGTAAAGTACAACGCAGTGTGATTAATTATCAGCCTTGATGGAGATTCTGCAAATTATTTAGAGACTCCGATTCCTCTATATTAATTTACGTTTAATCTATATTGTCATATTTGTATGTGATTTGTAATGTTTGTGTTATTTAAAGGAATCTGTTAAAAATATGTTCTCCTTACTACTATCTTGAATTAAGCTTATTTCTAAACCACTATTGATTAGTGGTATCCATGAAACTAATGTTATCAGGTAAACCAATTTTCATTTTCTCAACAAATCCTCAACAACCAACAGGTTCACATAGATGAATCGTATAGGTATACTTTTGATTTATTACATGGAGATGGTAAAAACACATAAAACAAATTCGATTTTCTTTCCGTGACATGTTTAAGACTAATAAACATAAAATTTTTTTTAAACGATTATTTCAACATGCCGGCTTATTTAGCTACATAAATCATTTTCGTTGCTTCCAACATTGATTTTAACTAACACCACATGATCTGTATTTATATTTTATTCCATTGGAGATATAAAACAAGCAGAACCAGAGCGGATTGTAGCCAGTGCAGAAGTACCCAGCAATATACAGTCACCGTCTACATCGTTGGTACTGCCAGGGGCAGCAATAAACGGTTACTTACGGATGGTGGCCGCGAATACTGAGGTTCAAACAAGTTTATTTGAACTATAAAACATCGCTTCTTTGATTATAAACGCTTCCAAGCCAAAATCAATACATTTACTTTGGTAGGATATTGCAGAAACCAGAAAAGGCAGTTCTTTTAACGAAAATGCAATCAATATTTTGCTTTGGAAATCTATATATCCGAAAACCAAAACGATATCTAGTTCTATTTGTTATTATCGTGTCTACCATTTTACATTTATTCACCATTTTGGCAAGTTGGATATATTTTTTGGGTCCAAACCCAGGTTTTTTGTTCTAAAACGTCGATCTGTTATTAAGAAGCATTATTGTTTCATAAACGAGTACTTTAACAATGAGGTTACATTTGATCTTGAAACAGAATCCGAACCCAACCCAGCATGTCAATCATGGAACTATAAAAACGTGGATTAACAATGAACGTTCTCCGTGTTACTATGTTATGTTGCCTTAATACGTGCTTAATACATCAATTTCGTAATGCTAGTTTTATTACATTGGGAAACCTTAAATGCTGATCTGTCAATAACCAATTTTGGTCTTTTTCTTACACTGTTGCAGTTTTAAAAATATTGTTACACAATTGGTAAAACAATAAACAATACTGTGTGATGATTAATAAATGGACTGTATTTTAGGTAAGAACAAAAGGTAAATTAGTTGAACTGTATTGAAATAAACATTCAAAACTGAGGAATAAACAGTATCGATTAAACATCGGCTGGTAATAAATGAATATGGACATATTGAAAGCAAAGATGTTAAAATAAAAGGTATGGCTGATTTTTAAGTACTGAACACAATACAAAATATATTCATATCCATCCTATTTACACACAAAAACGTTTCACACTTTTTTCGAGGTCTGTAAAGTTGTGTTTTCTTCACCAACAAACTCTGCAGCAGCGAGTCGCCACAACATGTTTTGTACTCAGCGCTTGTCAAGGGGATGTAACAAGGGGTTCCTAATACATTAACACAATCACATCAGTTTGTTTGTCCGCCTTTGACAAATCTATTGACAGCCGAGATGAGGTGAATCACGTGATAAATAACGAGTGAGCATCATTATTCCCCCCATCTTGAAAAGAGCCGCGGCGCTCTCACCCTTCTGAAAATGTCATCCAGCCAATTTCCAGACGCATTGAACTCCAGCGGAGCGAACATTTTAATAAGCACTCTGCGGTGATTGAATAGGGTGACGGGGTGACTGGGGTGGGGTGATGTGGGGTGAGGTGATCATTTGTACCATCTCACCTTCACCGCAACCACCTAATGTTAACCGCAAACTGCAACTATCGGGCAGAGTACCTCAGTTCCACTGTTGTGGAGTGGGTTAAGGTTTCATTTCTTTTGGCAGCCATAGTCATCACAGTAATTCTATCAAAATCAAGTAAATCGATACTACAACAGACAGCACTAGATGTATTAAGCCAAGATAAATTTAAAAGCTATGAAAAACGATGGCAAAATCAGTTTCGAGTAATCTGATGGTTAATTAAGGATGATGAAGGATAAGATTTTAGCAGTGGAATGTGTCAATCAGAAATAAATATTCTTTATTTAATTTTTTCCAAACTCTTTGGAAAAATTATTAACGTTTTTAAATTGTATTTGATGTAAATAATGCTAAAATGTCAGGGAAAAGGCTTGTTTCGCTTACATAGTTAGAAAGTCAGTGACAAATCTATAGTATTATAAATTTTAGGTGGTGTCTGTTTGTCCGTGCTGCTCCCATGACTAAAATACTAAACCGATACAGCCAAAATTAAACACACCGATAGGCCACATATCTAGGAATGTCATAGGCCTATTAATTCACTTCCCCGAGTTCCCCTCGGGCTACGCCCCTTGGATGTACAAAGTTTTGAGGTGAGGTGTTCAAAATAAAATAGTAATTGGTCTTCAAGGGAGCATAAGAAAATTCACAACCTTTGTTTACCTATGTGTTGACATTTCAATATAAACAATCAGAACTGTTGAATGCTTTTGACAATTTCAGCCAGCTGATCCAAACAAATTAAATTATAGCTATTTACATTACAAGTGTAGTAAGAGCGTTTTTACATCACGCAGGTGAATGTTGTGCAACGAGCGGAAGCAAGTTGCATAATTCACTTAAGTGATGTAAACACGCTCTTGCGTTACGTGTAACGTACAAGATTTTACCTAACCCGACAATATACATGGGTTTACGTACATTATTTTTCACTATCCATTTCACTCATCTTCTAACAGTAACGTTCTTTTACAAACAAAAGCTAGGTTAGGAAAATACTTTAAAGCATAACAATAACATTCAAGCGCACAGCTGATTTATAGCGTTGAACGTCGTTGGCTCCATAGTGGTATATTTTTTAAGTTATGCGCTCAATGTTATTTAAATGGGTTTATTTACATCACCGAGTGAGCTTTTGATACTTTACATCACTCGAGAAGTAAGGAAGTTGTATACATCACGCTTGGGATAGGGAAGTTTAACATGGCGGATTAGGTAATCCCAAGTTAGGGTTAGGTCCCAGGGTTAGGTAGGAGCTATCCCAAGCGTGATGTATACAACTTCTTTACTTCACGAGTGATGTAAAGTTAAAAAAACTCACTCGGTGAGGTAATGAAACCTATTTAAATAGCATTGAGTGCTTAACTAAAAAAATATACCTCTATGGAGCCAACGACATCCAACGCTAGAACTCAGTTGTGCGCTTGAATTTTATTGTTATGATTTGAAGAATTTTCCTAACCTAGCTTTTGTTTGTAAATGAACGTCACTGTTAGAAAATGGGTGAAATGGATAATGAAAAATATTGTACGTAACCCCCTGCGTATTGTCGGGTCAGGTAAAATCTTGTACGTTACACGTTATGCAACTCGCTTCCGCTCGTTGCACAACATTCACCTGCGTACATTCACACGAGGTGGTTTAACCGCGCGAAGTTAAGCCGCGCGAAGTTAAGGGCTTCGACAACACATTGAATCAAATGAGAGTGGCCACACGAGGCGAAGTTTAGCCGCATGTGCGGTTGAGCCGCAACATGTCGTCCCCCGACCGCGCGAAGTTAAGCCGCGTTGGAGGGGATGACACACGTAGTCTTATGAGAGTGGCCACACGATACGGTTCGACCGCGCGGCAGCCGCGCTTATTGGAGATATTCTTCGGACATTTCCAGTGGTTTTTGAGTTTGTTTTATGTATTTTTTACCGGTTGTGTGGTGTTCAAACAATGTTTGATACATATGAACTCCGAACTATGGTTTCGCATGTGCTCTTAAAAGGTTTGAAACACACAAAAAATTGTTTTTCCGTTATGAAGGGATGGACCCAATGATTTATGTTAACGTTCCAGATCACCACACGCTTTTAATGCATAAACTAACATAAGTGTTTCGCCCATGACTAAAAAGAGAGAACTGAACTATGTTTTAATAGAGTACTGATACTGGGAAAACCCAACAGGAAGCGGTTCATCCGCCCCGTGTGGCCAGGCACTTCGCGCGGCTTAACTTCGCCTCGTGTGGCCGGGGCCTAATGTAAAAACGCTCTTACTACACTTGCAATGTAAATAGCTATTACACAATTATTTATAAAACTATGTCATTGATTATGGAATTAAAGAAAGATTCTATAACCGTAAGTTATGACAATTATGTTATTGATACATTTTAATGAGCAAGACAATTCAGTGTAGGTGATACTTTCTTGAATAAAGTTGGTGGTTTTTTGTTTATAAATTCGAATTACTCAACCAGTGTTTGGATTAGGCGGTATGGTACATCTTCCCGTTGCGAAACACGGATACAGAAGCTAGTGAAGATACAGTATATGTAACAAAAACGCATTGTATTTAACGTAAATTTAATTTACATTAAAATAAATACACGTTGTATCTTTTTATCTTGTCATCCATGATAAATATCATGATACCCTAAATACTTAGTTGACAAAACCCAACGTGCTCTCAACACCCTGGTGTAGGTAAATTATTGTCTACAAGCGCAACGCATGTGATATGTTTCATTTTAAATGAAGTTAAGTGGCGTTCACGAAGTCGTGTACACACCAAAAAGTGTTTAGCAAAATTAAAAGTTAATAAGAGTTTCGGTGTGTTTGTTTGGGGGTCAGCAACACGTAATGGTATGCGCTGCCAACCGCTGGTTCAGCTTTTCACACTTTGTTGCGCAGTTTTTGTTTTTTAGTTTGGTAATTTAGAGCAAAGAGGGCTGAATATTAAGGGGGAGGTTCAGTAAAAAATTATGTTAAGAGTTTTGCGGTTCATGTAATGGGGTTAGACATAAAACTCACAATTTCTACCTTAGTCTAGAAGGATTTGTTTGAACTTTTTGTTTTGGATATGATACCATTTGGAAAATTAATTATTATTTGTATACTATAAAACAAAAGAAAA